TACATACATACATACATACTGTACCTGTATATACGCATCTCGTGGTTGATGACGCCGTGATTGAGCTTCAAACTAGTCTACCTCGCTGGATAAAACATTAATTTCTCGATCGGTCGACTCACGATAGTATTATGCCGTGAGGATTATGAAAATTGTTGTGCTCCTAATAATCGTTCGTGACGCCATTTCCATGTTTTGTTTTTGTGCATCGTTCTTAATGATATGTAATTTTCTAATGCCACTGGTTTTGCAAAGATACGGTAGATGTAAAAATCGAATGTATGATGAATGTATGATATTTTAATGAGTCCAGTTATCTTATAAAGGGAATGTACAAGAATTTACAGGCGAATTCACTGCGATGTTATCAGTAAACATATATTCTCGATGAATGTCAATAGTGATTGCAAAGAAAAATGGCGGACTCTGTTAATTACGGTCGCTTTATTTGAAATTTTTACTTATGTATCTTATTTCTGTGAATATTGCTGTGATTAATTTTCCAAATTCCCACAGTTCTCCAAAAATAATCGATAAGAGTGAATTTCTGACATACATTCGTAGAGAAGAGTGGATAGAAATAACATGCAGGGATCTTCGAGACAAATAAAAAGTATTGAATGTGTTTTTTTTATATTTAGTCCTTAAATTTTTGGACATTTAGACTTGTCAAAGAGTGATGCAACGATATGGTACATTTTTTTCGAAAAATAGTCTATTAGTGGAAATGCTCCAAACTTGTTTTTCCTCTTACCACTTCTTCTCCGCTGAAGAATGAATATTGCAATTAAAGAGCGCGTATTTTTTTGAGGCACCGATGTTTTTCGACTGAACAGTACGAAGGAATAGAGGGCGTGGAGAAGGGAAAAGGGCGTAGTAAGTCATACGGAGAGGCTCGTACGTCATGCCTCATCCGGGCCAACGAAGCAACACATAGAAAAAACTCTACGGAGCCTACGTGTACGAAGAATGCACCCACTTGGACTGCCTCTTTAGATCGCGACGCTATAGTGTGAGTGCCCATGTTATATGTATCTGTATTTTTCGTATACTTTTCTATGTTGAGAAGACTCGATGGTCGGTGTGCAACATACATACATGTATTCGACGGATATCTTTTGCATAATCCTTTTGATCTTTTCATAAAACAACAAAACTCGATTTTAGGATATCGTTATATAAAGAAAATGAATTGGAGGGAACTAGAAGAGAGCAATAAATTGATATGATTTCATGAAACAATAATAAACACGATAATTGCGGGTGATGTTCATATTACGCGCTGTATACTTTTTATTTTGGAACTTGGCAAAAATACCACAAAGAGTGAAGAAATCAAAAGAGAAAGGTCATTTATTGGCACAAGAAACCACCTGGTTAATTTTACTGAATGAACGCTGGACCTCCATTGTCGAGTCGACAAAAAGAAGGGGCAATAAATATCGGTTGGAATATTTTTACATATCCAATTTATCACTTTGCCTAACACCTTTAAATTATCGCTTGCTTCGATCAATATGATACAATACTTTAGAAGATACGCATTTTCGAACGGTGGATGATATCCAAATCATCAGTCATCGATGATTTAATTACTTCTAAGGCGCCAAATTTTTAAAGTAACAAAATCCATACTCTGCCCGAAAGGTGGCGCACAGAAAATAACGTATTCTAATTTTATATTTGTCCGCATATTTAATCTTCTTTCTTTTGGAAAAAATATTTGAATTTTATGTATAGAAGAAAAAAGAAAACATTATTTACTCACACATAATTGTTAAAACGTTTACAGATATAAATTACATTTGATTACATTCGATAATTGTATGTTCAATTTTGTAAATAATAATGATATTAATGAATTAATGAATTACAGATACTATATCTAAACAGGGCTCTCTATATGTGTGTTCCTATTCGTATAGAAGAATCCTTACGGTGCACTAAGATCAGAGCTGATCTTTGTCGATACGAAAGCAGAGCTCTGTATTACCGACAAGCCTCGTAAACGGCCATAGTAGCAAGCGAGGGGCTCACAAGAAGGAGGGGTAAACGAGCTAAGCCACGATTTCGTCGTCGTAAACGTCAAAGTTACGGTTACAGCGTTGTTCCTAGCTGCTTTATATTGAACGAGGTTGCTCCCCGAGGTACGTAACACCTACTCGCAACCGTCGTACTGTAGAAAGTGGCACTATACTCATTTCCAACTCGAGAGCGACGCGTGCACCACGTGGCTTTTACGCGGGAATCCAGTGGAGTTCAAGGTCTGTTGAGTATTGCTTTTACCGTATTGTGAGCAATTGAGTAAAAGACATAGCCAATAATTTTTTCATTTATTCTTGTTATTTAGACAATGACCATTGTCATGTTTGTGCAAGCAAATTAAGATATAAAATGTAATTATCTTCCTTCTTTATTTCTTCTTAGTTTGAATTGCTATATTTCTTCATTTGAGACTGTGTATAAAATATTTATATATTAAGTTATGTTTACATTTAAACATTCTTTCTAATATATCAAAAGAAATAGAAATGAAAATTAAGAATAAAACCCACCAGTTATCAGTGCAGTATGTTCATTGGACATATTTTGCTTGATTAGTACTTCTGCATCAGTCTATCGCACACTTTTTAATGAAGCTTTAAAAAGAACCATTTTTCAAATCTGTACGTAAAAAAGATTTGCTCTCAATGGCCTTGAATGAAGAGGTGTCTAGATAGCACCCCAGTCTCTATCACTCGCGCCCTCTAATTACCCTATAGACGTAACCAACCCCTCAATGAGGAGACATAAATATTGTTCACGTTTGGGGATACTCTGAGAAAGAGAGAGAAAGTCAGTTTTATAAAGAAAAATATATCTCTTACAATTATTGGTGAATTTTATAGACTGTTTATTGATAAAGAAGATATAAACTGGATAATATACTTTTTTTTTATTAACGTATCTTATTAACGTATCTATTAAAAATAAAGTTGCATATGTGTGCCTACAACATTATAAAAGTTATATAAATTAATTTTTACATATTGACGGCATAAAACAAATGAAATATTTATTTATCATATCACATAGTAAACAAATGCTAATAGATATTGACATTTCTATATTTAGACATCAATTGTAATTTATTTATAATCTCGCTCTAAAAAAATTTCTTAGGCATCATCCCATATGGTTCAAATTTGAATCTCAATCGGTTCTATCGACAATATTAAAAATGTTACTGAGGAATGCAACATGAGTCAATGGGTTTCAATTAACGAGAACCTGCTCTATAAACATACGGTCAATCAATTACCTTTTCATTTTTGCAATTCCTGCTACAAACGTTATATTCCGTGCCTTGCCAAGTTAATTCATTGCCCATAATTAATGTTCTAAAACCTCTAATTATTCAAATAAAATCTGTACAAGATATTCCTTTCACACTAAGTTGGTGGTATTGAATATAGCTGAGAAAACGTATGTATATTGATTTATAATGTAAATGATAATATATACGACTGTTTGTTGTACACATAACTAATATATTTTTTTCTTTTATAGGAAACAATTTATTCTTTGCAACGATAGGCAACAGAATCCATCGAGTTGTGTCTAATGCCTCCTGAAATGATTCCTTCCTTTGTATGCATAAAGAGAGATTTCTTGTTGTAGAAAATGAGGAAAAAAATAAAGTAGACAGACCCTAAACCGGATCGAAAAGTGCAAGAAGAAGACTCCCGCTAAGAAAGATGAAAGAAGAACGAGAGGCAACTAAGAACAAAAGAAAAGGACAGAGATAGCAAAAAAAACCACTAGCTAGGGATCTAGGATCTCAGCTGAGCTGGTAAAAGAAACACGCTTACCGAAAACGCGATAGAGCCCGTGAGGCCTCGATGATTACATATATATCTGCTAACGGCAAAGCAGAAGGCCATTCGGGGATATCCCTCTCGCAATGAGCAGGACAAAGACATCGCTAGAAACAGCTGACTACCGGAATTCGGGGTTCCGGAGGGGTGAGTACAGTGAGGAAGGCACTTGAACCTCCAATTGGACGAGGGCTTTCCCATTATACCCGGCGTACCCAACGATTTTACACGCACTTGACTCCATTCTACCTATCTACCAGACATAATTTTGTCGAGGTATACGGCCGATTTTCCACGACATAGCACGCGCGCATTAACATTGTACACGTGAAAGTGAAAAACTCGTGGGGACTTATGTCTCGCATGAAAACATGATGTAAGGTTTGCGATTTATAAGCGCGTCCGGAAAAATCGGGACTCAAAAATGTCGTTTGTTACTTTTTTAAAGTAGAGGTAACAATCAGCTTCTCTCGATTCTTCACGCTTTTTCTCTCTCTTCTCTTCTCTGAGACAAAGTTCAAATTACACATACATATTATTTGCAAAAGCGGTAATTCAAACACGTCATTTTGCATGCCACTCTTATGTGTCAACATTATTTACTGTCAACCCTTTTGTCACATCTATTGGACCAAAGGCAATGGAACTTTTAGTTTCTCAACGACAATAAATCTGTTGTCTCGGGTTTCATGATGGATATGTCGTATGTCAAAACGGCGTACAAATAGACCTCGCGAAAAATTCCATCGGTTTCGACACGATGCAATGAAAAGCTACATTCAACGAGTGGGATCTATACCTTCCGCTACTCTCTTTTTTTTTTTTTTTTAAGTAACGACGGAATAACTCATCTTGTTTATACGGATGTGATAGAAAATTTTCCACTCGTTCGGATTTATTCGTGATGCATACGAAACATTTTCGACCTATAATCTCGTTCCATACAACTTCTAGGTAATTTGATCGCGTGGAAGCAATTTTAACAATTTAGTCTGGTAGAACCAGACAAGCAAGCCTGATCCACCACGCCTTCCCGACCACGTGGTCCTCACTCGCTCTCCCCTAACTACAGCGGCTCCTATATTTCATCGCGGCTGTTACGATAATAGTCGTACGAGAGAGCATTTATGAATGCAAACTCACCTGCTATAGCCATCCAGGGGTAGAAGGTATGGTTGGCGGTAGGTTGCTGATGCAGTTGCGTGGCGACCGGTTGACTCGCGGACGAGTTCAAACTGCAGGTGTTCCAGGACGACGTGAGGGATCTTGACGAACTGTTGTTACCCGGACTCGATGCCGGATCGCCTCCTACGAGACCACCGTAGCTACCGACCCTCGTACTTTCTGGGGTACACGCGGAAGGACGTACGACTGAGTTACTCTGGCTGTTTGCTCCTGAGGTCGCTGACTGCCACACATCCTTAACCGCCGCCGCTGCCATCACCGCGGCATAACCATTTTGATGGGCTGACGTTTGATCCTGTTGCTTACAGTCTTTCGTAGCTGCTGTTGAATATGAAGATGTGGTGTGACCGGTTGCCTCAGGTGTCGTCGAGTAAAGCTTGCAGGCCGTCGCAACGCTGGCATCATATGGTGAGTCTTGGGGTGGTCTCGTGTTGGTACCACCACCTGGATGTATCCCTAACGAGGAGGATGTGTGATGATGATGCTGCGTTGATGCATAAGGCGACATACCTAAACCGAGTGGAAAGCTTCGATATGCCGCAGCAGTAGCCGGATCATGATGCTGACTCGCCGCTCCTGTTTGATGATGGTGGCTTCCGTAGAAGCCGCCTGCTGTCTGCTCAAAATACGAGTTCATAACTCCGGGTACCTTGGATCACTTGCACTAAAACACCGGCACTTAAAAAAAAATGGCAGCGGAAGGAGTCGGCGTTGAAATAAGCTTGCGATTACATCGAGCGCACGTGGCTAGCCAAAGTTCGCTAGTCCGTGTCCCAGCCCGATGATAGCGGATCAGGCTAGCTCGACTCTCTTAAATCGAACGAATGTTAATCAGACCTTTGATCTTCTGTCACGTTTTGATTTATAAGGCAAAACATAGATGCCTAGGAAGCGATACGTTTATTCGACGCGGGCGGCGATAGGTGAAAACGTTGACAAGGGACGAATAAACGAGCATTAAACCGTTTTAAGAGGCTATAAAAGTCATCGGTAGGTATAGCCGGTTACACCCAAAGTGTCAATGTCAGTAGGCCGTAAGAGTGTAATTCAGAATGGGTCTCATGGTTAGTGGCGGGGGCTTTTATGGTCTTGTTATGGTTACCGCTATGGGCGAAAGCATAAACCGGTGGTCTGGACTGTGAAAACAGGCGATGATCGTTAAACCGTTACGATGCAATAAACCGAGGTAATAAGACGAGCTATAAAACTGCCTGTGGATCTTTCTGCCGCGTGCGCGCCCGGCGACGATTCGGTCAGCCGGCACGCGACAACCACCCTCGGCAGACGGCTTTTTCTTTTCTTTTAAAATATACAATTCGCGATCGGTCAGGCTATCGGGGTGGCTCGTTTCGAAAAGCCAGTCAATCTCTTACGAAATCAAGAGGGACTTGGCCAGTCCGCACTGCACTAGCACTTGTCGTATTGCGACTTCGTTGATGACTGAGAGGTCCGGTATGAGTCGGAGTACGATGGGGATCGTAACGAACCACGGTATGCCAGTGCGGTGGTCCACGGCACACTACCGCTTTTCTCGCGCCCCGTGTACCGCCACTCTGTACGCGCCGTCCGTCTCTTGCTCGCTCGTTCACCTCGTTTTGTCTCTCTTCTTCGTAGTCGACCTCTCTCCCGAATTTCCTTCTCCGTTCCACTAGCCGTCGTCCCTCCTCACACTCTCTCACTCACTCTCGCTCGCTCACTGGCTCGCTCTGTCACAGTCACTCCTTGTCATTCGTGCGATTGTTGCTTCTCACTCGCACATACTCTTCCTCGGGAGTACTGCGTCCTGACGGAGATCGCAGAGGTATGTCTCTCCTCGTCTCTCATATACTATCCCCCTCCTGGTACGATAACCGAGTTCTCTCGCTCTGTCTATCGTCGTTGTTGTCCCCCTCTTCCACCCCCAATGTTCCCCCCCACAATTGCTCTCTCACCCTCTGCTTCTGTCTCGCTCCACCTCTCGACGATATTCGTTCTCTCCCTCCCACTCGATCTATTCTCTGCCTCTTTCCCCTGATACGATTCCTCAGCGCCCCCTATCGAGCGTTCCAGTAACTCAACGACGTACCGCCAGATTAAATTCGTACTCGCTCGCCGTGCGCGTCACATTCAAGGCGCGTGAGCAGATAAAACGGTGTGAAAAAGAAAGAGAAAATAATTGTTCGTCATGATACGAAGAAAGAAAAGAGGTGAGATAGAAAATGGAAAGAGAGAGAGAAAGAGAAAGAGAGAGAGAAAGAGAAGGAGAGGAAGGGAAAAAGAGAGAGAAAGGGAGTGGGAGAGAGAGGGACGAAAGAAGACGCAGAGGCGCGAGTAGGAACGGAAAGGAAGGTGAAAGAGAGAAAGATAGACGATGAAAGAGAGAGAGCGCTATGCGCAATTGTAGCAGCTAAGAGAGACGAAACGGCCGAGCGTGTTGAGATAGCGCTGAAGAGGGAGAACGGGTCGCTAAGGGAGGAGGTTATGCTTAAGGACCAATCAGAATTGAATTCGTCACGAATACCGCTCTGGTATGGCATGAAAGTTCCTACGCCGTGCAAAAGTAGTTCCAAGTCGGAACGACGCCCATGAGCGGTTAGGCACCGCCCCGCGAATCCCCACCACCAAGCACGAGAGTACCGTGAATATAGGCACGTTGTCCGTACAGAAAGAGAAGAAGAGAGAGTGAGCGAGAGGGACGGTGGGTGGGAGGAAGGGTCCAGGGAGAGAGGGGAGACAGAGAGAGAGAATGGATAAAAGGAAGAGAGACAGAGAGGGAGAGCAGCACGGCACGCGCGTCACGCAATGTTTCTGCCTTCTCTTTCACTCCTCGGCACTGGTTTGTGGGGATACGTGCACCGCCACCTCTGAAATCCGTCGTGAACTAACTTCGCCAGATCCATTCAGACGTTCAAACGACCAACATCAACGAGCTACTTTGCGATTAACCATAATAATCTTTCGTTATTGCGAGAACGATGTCGTAAAGGCATTATGATGTAGAATAACCTGATCGACAAATGATAGCACAAATAGGAAACAAAAATAGTGGCAAAATGGAATCGTGAGGCGCTGCAATTATTTGAGATCACACTAGGTCCAACCGGTCCGACGTCAAGAATACTTGATGATGTGAACGTGAATACGAATGGCAAGAATGTTATCGTAAACGCCTTTACGAGGCGCATCGGTGTTTTACGGACCAATTAGACAACGTTCGCACAATTAAAAAGTCGTAAAAGTGGACTCCGCGAGGCAGTAGTCGAGCGAGCAACTTCACGGCGCGCGCCACACTAGTATCGGGAGTGTTTATTGGGATGTAAATGTCGCTGGATTATCGCCCCCGCGGTTCGCACCTCGTAAATTATTCCATAACGAGCCGAGTAATGCCCATCATAAGCTGTTCTCTGGGGCCAACCCTAGCTATTTGCTTGCTCGCTCTTGCTTCGCTCTTGTCATTATGAATGCCTGGGTATTAGCCACCTACTTTACGCTCAAGGATGTGTAGAAATGAAGGACGTTTGATATCTTCCTTCTCATATGAATAGAATTTAACACGATACGAATTATGTATATATGTGTATGTGTGTATATGTATGGAACAAGTTTCATAATTGATCAATTGGAAAACAAAGTATTTAGCGATTCCTCAAACAAAAGAACTTGGTGCTTCTTAAATAAATAAAATAATATTGTAAACAATACTCAAGTATTAATAATACATTATAGACAATTTCTTAAGTATTAATAATGTATTATTAGTAAAATAATATTGGCAAAATCGATAACAACGATAACAGCAATAACAACAGCAATAATAATAGTAGTAAATGTAATATGTAATCAATATAAATGAAATATAAAAATTTAACATATCGTAGAGTAATGAATTATTAATTATATCGTAGAATAATTAGTTATCAATTATATAAAAATATTTATGTGCGTGTATGTATATCTTTTATGTATAAGGCTATCTTTTGAATAAAATTTTAATTATACAAAGGACAACAGAAAATTAAATCTGAGTGTAAACAAATTTAATTTAAAACTGGTCCTGTATCTTCTCTATGCATGTCTACTATTGATAGTTGTATCACAAAGCCGTCATAAATCATAAAGGGTCCAATTATTAAGCTCTTAATTTGATGGCGCCATTGACGAAGAGACTTGATGTAGTTTTCGCTTTTGCGAGACTCCGACAGGTGGCAGTCTGTATGCTTGAAAATCATGATGGCAATAAACTTCGGTTTTATGACCACTTGAACAGAATCGTAAAAGTCAGGGCCTTTAAGCTTATAGCGTAGTACGGCGCGTGTCGGATATGGTGGGGGCGTGAAGAATCCACCATGTGGATGAAGAAGGTGTAACGGGCTATGTAGGTTCAAAATGGGCCTAAATACCTTCTTCAAAGCGCTGTTTACAATTGGCCGCTTCTTAGAAAACATCTAATCAGTGTAACGTTGTGGTGAACATGATTTAGCAGATCTACTGACAGAATGTAATGTAAATATCTGTTGTCCGTATAATATTTAATGTTATGCCTATTATAATAATACAGTATAGTAATAATTTTTACTAGTTATTAATTTTACATTACTAATTTTATATCATATTATCACATATCAGTGCTATCCTTTGTTATTTAAATTATCTTAAAGATTAGATGAAATTAACTATCTAAATTATCTCAAATATCTAAGTGATACATGTACGTGAAAAACTAGAGAAACAGATGCTGTGAGAAAACGTTTGTATATCTAGATATCATTTTAAACCAGCGATATAAACCGATATGAGTGATAGACGTCCATTCTGTGGATCTCAAATAAAACTAAAGCAAAGAAGTGAGGTAGCTTCAGAAGGGGGCATCAGGGGGCGTAGCTATAGCAACGAGAAGGAGAACACGAAAGCGAAGAGGCCATTGCACCCGAGTCGCGCAAATCTGAACTCTTGCTAAACCAGCATCCATTCTTCATCGCTCCGGTGGCTTTGGCTCCTCTGGGTTCCTCTACATTCTACGTAGTTCAATGCACTGTTTGGACCCTCGTTTGAATGGACTTTCTTTCTTCTTTTCTATTAGCTTCAATCCTCGTTTCGTGGATACCCATTTGCTCACTTTTTACATCTTATAATTAAAATGCTAAGAATATGCTGGTACCCGCAATGTTCTAATCTTTAGGTTTTGGAAAGGTTTAGGATAGGTATGATTATTGTCAGATCTGATTTAAATTTGATTTAAGTTTGAGATGTCTAAGTAACTCACCTGCTTTTGCCCACCCGAAACTTTATAAACATTCAATATCTCAGTTTATTTGAATTTCATAAGATTCCATAAGATTATTTTGAACTAATGGAGTACTTATATTTTACTTAATAATCTGAATAAAACTGAATAATTTGATTATTTATATTACAGCAAGTTTATATATCTACGTATGTGTGTGTGTGTATCTTGTCATTATAAATTCCATCTAAAATATTAAATTATTTTGAAAGGAATAATTTTTATAAATCTCCAGAGCTATATATAACTAACAGCCATTACTCTAAGTTTAACCTAACCTAACCTAACCCTAACCAGTACTTTAACAAATAATTTTGGAATCTTTTGAGAATACTTTGTTTAATATAAAGATAATATAATAAATTTAATAATTCGTATAATAGGTAATTTTTTATTTAATTATATCAAAAGAAGCCAGTGAAACTGAGCGACTAAAAAGTTTTAAACATAAAAGGATTTAGATGATGGAGAACAATCGAGTAAGTACAACATATTATTTTATCCAATTTGAGATAAATTGAATTCCGTTCAAGAGGATTTAAACCAAAGATTGAATATCCGGAAATTTCAAGTACTCGTACCTTTCATTTTTATTCTCTGTCTAGAAAAATTATAAATAAATATTCAATTATAAAGAGATGTTCAGTTTTTAAAATAATTCTTATTGCTATTATTCACAGATTGTCATGACAATTAAGAATAAAATACTCGTAAAGCACTCGTAATGATGAATGATACTTTGTGTTCCGCTAAGTAGCGTTAGTAAAATGAAATTTACGAAACAGTTATACACATATCCCATTCAACATTTATAATTTATACGGGTTTTAAATTTATTGATCGGCAGCATATTATGAGAAACGGTAGAATTAGGTACGAAGGACTCGGAAGATATTTCCTTTGCCATCTGGCGGTCTACCGTAGTATTATCTGAATGCAAAGCTTGTGTGAAACAGTTTGTAGTTCTCGCGGTCGATATGAGTTTTATAATAATGTATCAGAGCATAAAAGCTACACAGAAGTAAATTATATATGCATATATACAATCATTTTTTTCATTCTACATTCAAGATCTGATTCGTCGTTTGTACTATGACGATGAAAGCAACAAAAGGTATTCACCATTAACAATTTTTAAATAATGACTGTATTTATAAATTACAAAGTGACGCATTATTCATTTAGTTTAGAACAGAATAATATGATAGGGAGCACCAGTGTTTTTGAGTGTGGAAGGTTGATGATGATCGAAACGCGCATAAACGAGTTTTCTGCCGAGCAAAAAAACAGCCGAGAGGCTTTCAAGAACAAAAAAGATTCATAATAAGAAAGAGAGGACACGCGAGGACAGCTCTTACGTCCCAGTAGTAATTGACGGCCAATTTATTTAATATGTGTTCAAGACTCGTTAAGTTTTAGAGTGACCTACCTTACCGGTTGAGAAACTCGTCCTGCAGACAGGACAGGCGTTAAGGGATAGACGTTAGTACGTCGCGACAATACGTTTGTCCGCAGCTGCCGTAGATAACATCAGATAAAATTTCGGAATTACTACTTTATGCTCGTG